GCTCACTATGACCACCAGGGGGCAGCACGGAACAAAGGAAGGCGGCAGCCGGCAGCCAGCAGCCACCAGGGACTCTACCCATGCACGCATTTTGTGCACTGGGCCTCTAGTAGAACAATAGAAATGTGAAATGCAAACACCTAAACACCTCCAAGAACTAGATATGAGCAATTCCTATAAAAGGAAAGAGGGACCCCAGGGAGTTAACTCTTTGGGAGCAGGTTCTTTGGAACACACAATCCGGCCAAAACAAAGAAACAAAGCAAGCCCTACATCACGAAGCTTGTTTCCTTCTCCAAAAAGCTCCTAAGAAAATAATCACAACTTTGATTCAAACAAGCTCTGAAGTATGACTTGTGGACTCTTCTATGGTTTTGAGTCCATCTTATGTGTCTCCTATAACACCCATTGGACTGTGCCAATTGCTACAGAAGTAAGCAATACCCAGCAAGGATTGGAGGTAATTTCCAGTGGTTTTGGTTTAGCAGACTATATTGCTGATCAGACTCTTGGGTTCTTAGTTTTAGAAACACCAGGCAGGTGAGAAGCAGGTTAAAAATCCCCCTTTCTTGCTATTAATACCCTGATCTTCAAAATGTGTCATCTTGTCATAACAGCCTTGAGAAAACCTTAGTAACTTTCTCAAAGACATCCATGAATGGTCTGCTTACTTAATTTTCCTCCTGATCAACCAAAGGGCCCTCTGCTACTTATTTTTACTCAGGGCTCTTTTTTTAGCGCCAGCCCTAATCTGGAAATTTCACCACATGGAGGACTATGGAGAGCCCGATGCCATTTTTTTGAAGGGTTCAAGAAGTAGGTTTCTTTAAGGATCCTGGCTGATGACCCAGAAAAGTCTCAGGTTCGTGACTCACAAGTGAGAGGGCCTCTTTAGATATGCAGCAGGCAGAGGGGTGAAGTCTGCAATTGGCAAAGGCAGGTGCAGGCAGCATCCCAGGCCGTAGAGAGACGCACGCCTGCCCTCCCTCCCCTGCCACAGCCAGTCCCCTGGCCTGCAACCTCCCTCACAGCTCAGAACAAAGCCCAGGAGCAAACAGGGGGCAGGGTAGCATTACTTCTGGTCATAAACAACAACAACCTATGTGGACAAACAACCTTCCAGGTCGAGTCACCAGAAACAGGTCTGATCATCATTTTATCACCACGAAGCAGGCTATTTGGGGTGGGGCCTGGGTGGAGTGGCAGCCCTCCAAAGGAAGGAGTGACAGGAAAAAACGGAGGAAAGGGCCAGAAGGGGCCGTGAGAGCCGTGTGCTCAGGGCAGCAATACCGCTCTGTTGCTGTTCTTACCACTGGGAGGCTCTCTGCTGAACCGCTGTCAAAGAGAAAACACCGCCAGTCATTGACTACAGAGCTCCGGCCTGGACTGTCAGGAGGGGAAACCTCACCCTTCCTGCCTCGGAGAGTTCAAAAGGGCCCTCGCACACACGTGTGCCTAATTGTATCGCACTGAGCTAGTCGCATTTGCATTTCGTCGTGGGCTTTTACATTTAAATATGTGCGGTTAGCATATTCGTCCCACTTTTAGTTTTTAATGTGTACAGGTTCAAATACAGCCTCGTGGCTAAGGGGGTCTCTGAGCTTCAGTTTCTCCAACTCTAAAACTGGAATGATGCTAGAGAGCACACAGACCTATTGGGAGGGTTATGTGAAAATGAACACGATGGCTCAGCATGTCATCTGGTATGGGAGTGCATCTGGTATGGGAGTGCACAATAAATGTAAGTTTAATATTAGTGTTCATGTTATGATGGAGAAGTAGTAGAAGCTGTGAGCGCTCTTCCCTGGCTCTACTGCTAACTGGCACTGTGACCCAGATACATTTGCTACTATTTCCTTATCTTCATAAG